AAATATATAATTCTAATAATAAATGCAATAACAAATATAAATAATTTCATAACATGATTTCTCTTCTGTTATGTTGAGTTCACTCTGTATAGATATCTTAAAGTTAATTATAATTTAAAAATTATATTTTTCACATTTGTTCTTAAAAAATATATTTTCTAACAATATAAAAACAATTAGTTTTACAATAGAGAATTTACAATTAAAGAGAATGCTATAGTATTGTATTATTGCATATATGTTTATTGTATTGTATATATGTTTACCATTACTATAGTATTGTATTATTGTATTTAATTTTTAAGACTTAAATTTCTTTTAAGACTTAATTTTTAAGTTATCAAATTTCTTATACTTTTTTTTTTTTCTTTTTACAGAATGTCTATTTTCATGGCAATTCCTCGATTTGCGTACAATTTACCTAAGTATGTATTAGGCCTGGGATAAAGATCACTGATGTGATCTTTTGATATTAAATTATTAAACATTCATAATGGTAACATTGTTGCTCTGAAAGCTGTAACACTGTTACTCTGAAAGCTGTAACATGCATTTATAATGCTTGAGAATGTGCAACACGTAAAAGAATGATGGAATTGTGCAGATATTTTCTCAAGATTCCTGTTAGTTAAAGAATTTGAATTCTTTAGTTAAAAGAATTTATTTAATAGTGAGATATGCAGTGTAAAGTTTCATTTTATAATATGAATTACTTTCCTTTCTAATGTGATAAATATACACATAAAATGTGTTTTTCTATTGCATGCAAAATATGTATTTGCTAAAGAATTTCTAATTTCTTTTTTTTCAGACATGATGTCTTGTTTGTAAAAGTGCAAATGTATTATTTAGAAAGACATATTATTGTATTAAATTCTATGTTTAGTTTGTGTCAATTTTTTATGAATAACTTCAAATTTTTATAAAAATTGAAAAAATTATTAAAATCTTATCTTGATTATTTTATAGGCTCTATAATCAACATTTTTGAGTTTAAAAGGTATTTCCAACATTTTCATAGTTAATGAACATTTAATACAAAGATTGGATAAATACAACAATTTCAACGGCAAATCTACACAAAATCGACAAACACAGTTGATTGTTTTTTAAGAAATATTTTGTATATAATCCTTTTTATATTGTATAGTTTATTTTGAATTCGTTATTCCAAGTCCACCATAATTTATTCAATAAAATAATAGTACTGGTAAATAATGCAAAACTCGATAGAACTTTTGCATCCATCTAACGTATCTTTCCTTTTTTTGATATTTTTGTTAATAAACTGTAAATATTTATTCATATTTTTACGAATGCAATGAAGAGCATAACAACCAATCAAAAATTGTCGATATTTATTGTCGTTATAACTTCGTAAAAAAAGTCATACAACAATCTTATTTGGTCTCATTTTAAAGCATAGAACCACTACGTTGATAATATTGAGTTCGTTTTTCTCAAAGATCTTGGATTATTATCGAAAAAAAATTTTACAGACGTTTGAATTTTGACAATCTTCGAGAATAAGTTTACTTTTCTATCCTTTACATGACGTAAAAACATCTTTGAAGAAAATAAATTCAGAACTATGGAACTTTACTTTTACAAAATAAAGTAGAAGATCAAAAACCAAAGCCCAAAAGGATTGTTAAATAATTTTTTTTTTTTTTTTTTTTACGATGTTATAGTAGTTTAAAACATCGACGATGTTTCATCATTATTAGTTCACTTATGTTCCCCACCATAGAATTTAAAAAAATGGAATCTAGCTAGAAAATTGTTCTATTTGCTAAATATTTTAACGAGTATCTGCTTCAGACATTATATATTTCCGTATATTATTCGTACTTTTGAGACTTAAAAATTTCCCATAAATACGGTGCTGCTCGATATCTTCAAATTCCCCATAAATGCATAAAAATCCGTAGTCTATTTATTAAGTAGGTCTCTGCTTTCTTCGTCTAATCTTTTGCGGGAATATTTGAGAATACAGCGCGTTTTAGTTTTAAATGTAATTTTTATTTAGGCTATGTACAACACATACGTACAATACGTGACCCTTGCTTAAAACTATATTACGCTCGCCCGGTATGCATTTCCACTTTCTTTTTTTTTCTTTTTTTTTCTTTTTTTTTTTTT